GATAGAGCGTCAGCCTGTGAACTAAAAGGTCCTCTCTGTAAAAAAATTAATAAAATATATTTTAAAATAAATAAATAAATAATAATTTAAAAAGAATAAAAGTCAGCCGGGACCGGTTTAGCTCAATGGATAGAGCGTCGGCTTGGGGACTGAAGGGACCCGGGTTCGATTCCGGTCAAGGGCATGTACCTTGGTTGCAGGCATATCCCCAGTGGGGGGTATGCAAGAGGCAACTGATCAATGACTCTCTCTCATCGATGTTTCTAGCTCTCTCCCTTCCTCTCTGTACAAAATCAATAAAATATATTAAAAAAAAAAAAAAAAAAAGAATAAAAGTCAGTCCCTGAGCACTAGAATTAACAGTAAGGCACTCTTGCCGAAACCGGTTTGGCTCAATGGATAGAGCGTCGGCTTGGGGACTGAAGGGTCCCGGGTTGGATTCCGGTCAAGGGCATGTACCTTGGTTGCGGGCATATCCCCAGTAGGGGGTGTGCAAGAGGCAGCTGATCGATGACTCTCTCATCGATGTTTCTAAATCTCTCTCTCTCTCTCTCCCTGTACAAAATCAATAAATATATTTAAAAACAACAACAAAAAAACAGTAAGGCACTCTTCAGGTTTGGGAGTACAAAAAAATAAGGGTGCACAGCCCTATCCATCCTTTCCAAATCAAACTATATAGCTTTCCAGAATTTGAATATAAAAATCTTTTCATGTGAATTTCACCTCGATAAAGTAATTTTTTAAAAATCTTATATACAGTCAACTCTATTGGCAACTTTAGGAAAATAGTTGGAGCAGTAGATATTCCCAAAAGCATTTTTTTCTCCCAAAGCATGCTTTTACTACACATTGGTAAGTCCTATATGCATTTTGCAGAAAATTTATCTTTATAGCTTTAATTTTTGTAAAATAAGTGATTAATATAAGTAGTTTATGCCACTTGAGCCCAAGCTCATTGACAGCATAATAAAGTTATTAAAAAAAAAAAAAAAAAAAAAAAAAAAAGCTGTGGTACATTTACACAATAAAATACTACTTGGCCATAAAAAAATAGAAGGAAATCCACCCTGGCCGGTGCACTCAGTGGTTAGAGACCATGCAATCCCAGTCAAGGGCAAGTATCAAGGTTGCAGGTTCTCTCCCTGGCCCCTCACCCCTTGTGCAACAGCAACCAGTCTCTCTCTATCTCTCTCTCCCTCTCCCTCTCCCTCTCCCTCTCTCTCTCCCCTTCTCTCTCCCTCCTTGAAAAACAATGGGAAAAATATCCTCAGGTGAGATAACAAAACAAAAAAACACACAGAAGAAAATCTTACCTTTTCTGACAGCATAGATGGACTATGCTGAGTGAAATAAGCCAGTCAGAGAAAGAGAAGTAGCATATGATTTTATTGTTCATAGGTGGAATCTAATAAATAAAATGAACTAACAAGCAAAATAGAGACAGACTCATAGAGGGCAGGCTGACAGTTGTCAGTAGGGTGGGAGTGAGGGTGTGAGGGATAAAGTAAAAGAAAAGAACTCATGGAGTGGACAATTGTGTGGTGATTGTAGGGGAGGGTGGAGGAGGAGGAGGGTAAAGGGGGGATAACAGAGACTTGACGTGGGGTGGTGAGCATGCACTATGGTGTACAGACACTGTTGTAGAATTGTGCGCCTCAAACCTGTGCAACCTAGCAATTCTATTCTTACATGTAAACACAAGAGCAGGAATCAGCAGACATTTTTGGTAAAGGGTAAGATATTAAATACTTCAGTTTTTGCAGGCCATCCAATCTCTGTTGCAGCTACTCACTAGGCCTGAAAACAGCAGTCCTATATAATAAAAGGCTAATATGCAAATTGACCAAACAACAGAACAACTGGTTGTTATGACATGCACTGACCACCAGGGCACAGATGCTCAGTGCAGGAGCTGCCTCCTGGTGGTCAGTGCACTCCCACATGACAGTGCCACTCAGCCAGAAGCTGGGCTCACAGCAGGTGAGCGCAGAGGCTGCGGGAGCCCCTCCCACCTCTGCAGCAGCACTAAGGATGTCCGACTGATGGCTTAGGCCCGCTTAGAGAGCCCCCAAGGACTCCCAGACTGCAAGAGGGCTCAGGCTGGCTGAGGGACACCCCCACCCTCAGTGCACAAATTTTCGTGCACCGGGCCTCTAGTAGACAATATCTTTTTTAAATGAGTGTGACTGTTTCTTTTTATTTGTTTCTTTGTTAATCCTTGCCTTAGGATATTTTCCCATTGACTTTTAGGGTGAGTGGAAGAGAGGGAAAGAAGAGAGAAATATCAATGACCGTCAATTGGCTGCCTCCTGCACAAGCCCGGGCCAGGGCCCAGGCTGGGAAGGAGCCTGCAACCAAGGTTTGTCCCCCTGATCAGAATCAAACCGGGGACCCTTGGGTCCACAAGCCAACGCTCTATCCACTGAGCCAAACTGGCTAGGACAAGTGTGACTGTTTCAATAAAATTTTATCTATGGATACTAAAACTTTAATTTTCATATAATTTTCACATGTCACAAAATATTAGCCTTCTTTTGATTTTAAAAAACCATTCAACAATGTAAAAACTATTCTTAGCACTTAGGTCATACAAAAACTCGTGGAAAGCATTTTAACCAGCATAGATTGCTGATTCCTGCTACAGAGGACTCTTACACATGCACAAAGACAGCTATATATGAGAACCTACGTAACATCATGATTTGTATTAACAAGTAATTGAAAACAGCCTAAATATCTACAATAGGAGGAGGGTAAGTAAATGTCATTAACTGGAGCTACAATACTTGCAGCAACGCAGACATACAACAGTTATATGTTGCTACATGTACTTAACTAACACATGTAATACAAGTGTGAGGAAATATGTAGGAATATGAGACATCAAACTCATTTCCCCAAGCAGGATGGCAGGGTGGGAGGCAGAGACAAGGATACACAGAGGGCTTCAACTGGATTTTTTTTAAGCTGACTGGCAGGTTCATGGATATTCATTCTTTATTCCGTGTTGTACACCTTAAATATTTAATAACAAATGAAAAGCGTTGTATAGGGTTCATGTGCGTTTAGCAATGGTTTATCCGGTTTGGGGGACTAGGGCTCAATTTTATTAAAATAGCCCTAGGTCAACTCCTGGATCTTGCATTCTAAAAAAAAAAAAAGTTTCATTTTTTTAAAAAAATGGACTGATCCTTGATCCTTGGGAGAAAACAGGAAACTGTACTGAGTTCTTGCATAGTTAGCTAATAGGAATACCTTCGTACAACAAACTGGTTACTATCAGGGAATCAAAGAGCTGAATCACAATCTGACGTCCAGCGGCCTCTGACCTAAGCTGCCTGTTGCAGACACAGCCTCCAGCATCACAGTGATCCACACGCCCTAGGAACAGTGACGCTCCGTCACCTGCTTCACGGAGCAAATGACGCTAACGGTGATGAGGCTAGTGTTTCTCTGAGTGAAAATCTAGCGTGAATTCTCCCCGTTCCCTGGCAAAAGTTCAAGAGGCATCATTATAAAAAGAGGGGGGGGAAAACAATTCTGCTTTTACCGACTTCAGAAACAGTAGTCATTAAAACTGTCTTTTGATCTAGAATTACTTACATGGTTTCTTAAGGGTCTCCTCCAGCCACTCAGCTAAAACACAAGCTCCTTTTTGACTTCTAAGACCTCCGGAGGAAAGCAACATCAGTTTCATCTACTGCCCTCTAGTGCTTGTACTTCTTTAATAAAAATGTTAAACACTATCTGACATCAGGCCACAGTAAGCCTGTCAAAAATTAAAGAACAGTCTATTTACCTAAGATTTTTCAATTTCACACTATTCACATTTGCGGCCACTAAGTCTTTTTTGTGGGGGCTGTCATTGCTGGGTGTTCAGCAGCATCCCTGCCCTCTCCCCACTAGGGCAGTGGCGCCCCCAGCCCTCGCTGTGGTAAACAAAGAAGTCTCCCGGTATCACTCAATGGCCCCGGGAGCAAACTGGCCCCTGGTGAGAACCGCTGCGTTAGCCTAGAGGTTGTCCAGAACATTCACCTTAGTCCCAAAAATTATAACCCAAAAACTCGTCTTCTCCAGACCAATTGCTTTGAGTGAGATAAAGGAGAACTTCATTTCTGCATGAAAACAAAAAATAGAAAATTATGATTTTCAGCTCCCGATCCTCCCCAAAGTCCTGGCAGGTGGGAAGTTCTTTACACCTTTAATTTTTTGTTCCAGTTTTACTTCTTAGATCTGTTCGCTTCCGTTCACAATGCTTAGAAAACAAAGCTTGCCCTTCTAGCAGATTGTAGGTAATAGGTAGGGAAAGGGTAGGGGGTAATATGAATGTTTGTACTATATCCTAGCACAACTGTATTCAGCATGAACAATATGGGCAACCAAGAATCTGTATGGTGTAAACATGGTATAAGATGTTTCAAATCTGGACTTTAGGAAGGTATATTAGGAGGGTTTATGTGGAGCTGCTATGAATATTACTCATGTAAACACATTATGCTTATAAATCCTAATTCTGTCAATTTTAAAACTTACAAATCACTAAGGAATTGATGTTTAGAAAAAAAAATTTATATATATTTCTTTATTGACTTCAGAGAGGCTAGGAGACCAGGATTGAGAGAGAAACATCAATGAGAACCATTGATCGGCTGCCTCCTGCACATCCCCTGTAGCATCCTCCCCCTTCCCGCCTCCCACATGTGCCCGTGGTCCGAATCGAACCTGGGACCCTTCTGTCCGCAGGTCAACGCTTTATCCACTGAGCTAAACAGGCCAGGGATTAAAAAAAAATTTTTTTTAAGTCGTTTGCACTGGTACCGAAAGTAACTTCCTCCCTTCATCACATTTCCCACTAACTTACCTGATTCCACTAAAAAGAGAAAAATAAGAGGCCTCGGCCTGAGCCTCTCGGCCCGCAGGGAGCATGGACTGAGGGAAGTTAAAGTGGGCGGGTGTGGGCGGGGCGCGAGCGGGGCGGCGCTGCAGGGACAGACCAAGGGGCGCGGGCGGCCAGGTGGCGGGTGCACTGTCTGAGCGCTCCTTGCAGCAGAGCTGCACGCCTCCAATCCCGGCCGGTGATCGCCCTCGCTCTCCTCCCTGTCCCCATGTCGAGGACGGAGCTGATCCAGAAGGCGAAGCTGGCCAAGCAGGCCCAGCGCTACGAGGACATGGCCACCTTCATGAAGGCCGCGACGGAGCAGGGCGCCGAGCTGGCGGAGGAGGAGCGCGGCCTGCTCTGGGTGGCCTACAGGCGCGTGGTCTCGAGCCGCAGGGCCGCCTGGAGGGTCATCTCCAGCATCGAGCGGAAGACCGACGCCTCCGACCAGCAGCTGCGAGTGACCAAGGACTTCCGGGAGACGGTGGAGTCCGAGCTGAGGGGCATCTGCACCACGGTCCTGGAATTGCTGGATCAGTATTTACTAGCCCACGCGACGAATCCGGAGAGTAAGGTCTTCTATCTGAAAATGAAGGGAGATTACTTCCGGTACCTGGCCGAAGTTGCACCTGGGGATGACCGGAAACAGATGATAGATCATACCCAAGGAGCTTACCGAGAGGCTATGGACATAAGCAAGAGAGAGTTGCAGCCCACACACCCCATTCACCTGGGGCTGGCTCGTAACTTCTCTATCTTTTACTATGAGATCCTTAATGACGCCCAGCTTGCCTGCGCACTGGCCAAGACGGCTTTTGGTGAAGCGGTTGCAGAACTCCATAAGCTGAAAGACCCGCACAAGGACAGCATCCTCATCTTGCAGTTGCTTAGAGACAACCTCATACTATGGACACCAAACAGTGCAGGAGAAGAAGGTGATGCGGCTGAAGGAGCCAAAAACTAACCGCAGACCGAGTGCCATCCTCCCTCCCTCCAGAAGCCTTTGTGCACATCTCCATCCCTGGCTCCATGTGGGTTTCCTAGAGCAACGGAAGCCATTCGTGTGTATGGACTCAACGGTGTGTAGACTTTTCACACTGCGGCTGTGGGAAAATTCCGTTCCTTGATCTGCGTTTGTCTTGGCCTTCTCGGTGTGCGGTTACTGCTGTAGAAAAGTATGAATGGCTCCATTTCACATAAACACAAATAACTTCCAAACGCTTACATAGAGGACTAAAAATGTATTTGGTATTTAAGGAATCAGAACCAGTTCTGCAAGTGACTGTGTTTTGTATTACTGTGAAGATCTCAAAATGGAGTTGATTACAATTGAAAGAGGGTTTTACATAACTTCTTAATTTCTACATTCCCTCCCTTACCGGATTCCTTTCGGTGAGCAAGTTTCCATGTTCTTAATGTGTTCCTTTTTGGCAGGAATCTGGATGTACTAGATGGAATGGGAAGGTATTTGGCATTCTGGGCTGCTGGTCACCAGTTGAAATGCCTCCTGTGTCACACATGGTGGAAGTCTTTGTTGCAACAGGGGGTTTCCTTAGTCATTCTTCATTTGCTGCTGTTTCAGTTGACAACTTCCTTTCCTAATAAAAACTCACTTACAAAAAAAAAGAACTCTAGCCGGTTTGGCTCAGTGAATCGAGTGTCAGCCTGCGAACTGAAAGGCTCTGAGTTCCATTCTGGTCAAGGGCACATGCCCAGGTTTCGGGCTCAATTCCCAGTGTGGGGCCTGCAGGAGGCAGCCGATCAACGATTCTCTCCCCCTCTCCCTTCCTTTCTGAAATCAATAAAAATATATTTTAAAATACATATATATATATATATATATATATATATATATATATATATAAAGAAATTGAAAAGATTACAGCTCTATAATCGTCAAGCTCTTACTAGCAGAACCTCGGTACGGAAATCTATTTTAGCTGTATAGAGCAGTTGTGGTTACTCCCTGACCTCCTTTTAGAGCCTGTTGCTTTACTTGCTCTGTTTATATTGGTTTCATCCTAGTCTCTCTAATTAAATTCAGTTATAAAGTCCTTTAATCATATAATGAAGCAAGGCACAAATGGGTTTTAGGCTTTGATCTTGCAAGGGGCATTGTAATGATTTGAATGTATATTTAAAACTATATAACACAGAAAAGTTACAATCACCCAGATTAAAGAAAAAAAGCTAAAGGAAAACACAAAACCTGGAAAGATATCAATCAGATCAGAGAGGAGAAATGTATGTGACCCAGTGATATTATTTGAGAGTTATTTTGCATAACTTTTTATAGTTATACAAAAAGTTCAGGTTACTCTGTAATATACAATTATTTTAAAGCATCCAAAAACTTTTTTAAAAGCAAATTATTCCAGCCTGGCTAGTGTGGCTCAGTGGTTGAGCATTGACCTAGGAAACAGGAGGTCACTGAATGGGAGTTCTATTCCCATTAAGGGCAAATACCCAGGTTGCAGGCTCAGTCCCTGGCATGGGGCATGCAGGAGGCAGCCAATCAATGATTCTCTCTCATCACTGATGTTTCTCTCTCTATCCCCCTCCCTTCCTCTCCGAAATTAATAAAAATATATTTTTTAAAAACACAAAGCAGATTATTCCAGAAATTAGTTTATGTATGCATTGCTAATTTCATAGCACTTTAAACTCCTCAGCAAAAAATAATAAAATAAATAAATAAATAAATAAATAAATAAATAAATAAATAAATGTTTCTTTAGGTTTTGATTTAAAGAAACTGTAGGCAGATTACTTGCCTCGTCCCTCCTCAGAAGTCCATGTCCCGGTTAAGGACACCTACCTGAGTTGCAGGTTTGATCAGGATGCTTGCAGGAGAGGCAACCAATCTATGTTTCTCTCTCACATCAATGTTTCTCTCTTCCCCTCCCTTCTACTCTATAATTTAATGGAAAAAATATCCTCTGGTGAGACTTAACAAAGAAGATAAAATAAATAAAAATTTAAAAGCATGTTCTTTCTTTTCCACTAAAATAGATTTGCTATTTACCTTTAAGTAAACAATATATCCCAAGATTAAAACCTGGAGGCTAATACACCACAAACTGCTCTAGCACGGGAAGAGATAGATATATAGTGGACATGGCACTCTATTAAGTGTGTGGCAATGGCTACCTACAAAATGTCAAGAAACAAAGTAACTCCAGTGGACCAAACATACTGGCTGTTCAACAATTTGAAATTTAATTCAGAAAATAGAATCTGACCTCAAAAGGAAAAAAATGGTGTCGGGCCGACATTCTTGGCGAGGCAGCAGCGCATCCCCGCTCTCCGAGTCCCGCGATGCCGCCCAAGGACCACAAGAAGAAGAAAGATGCTGGAAAGTCGGCCAAGGACGGCGAAGACCCAGTGAACAAGTCGGGGGGGGGGGGGGGGTGTTAAAAAGCAGAAGTGGCCCAGGACAAGCTCAATAACCTGGTCTTGTTTGACAAAGCCACGCAGGACAAGCTCTGGAAGGAAGATCCCAACTATAAGCTGATACCCCAGCGGTGGTCTCCGAGCGGCTGAAGATTCCTGGCTCCTTGGCCAGGGCAGCCCTTCAGGAGCCCTCAGGAAAGGACTTATTCAACTAGCTAGTAAACTTATTAAACTTATTAAACTTATTAAACTAGTCTCAAAGCACGGAGCTCACGTGATTTACACCAGAAACACCAAAGGTGGGGATGCCCCAGCTGCTGGAGAAGATGCATGAACAATAGATCTCACCGGCTGTACATTTTTTGGGGGGAGGAGGGATGAATACTTTATTAAAGAAAAAAGAAAAAAAAATGGCAAAATTAACAATGCGACTTTAAAGAAAGCTGACCTTTTTAGCAGTTGTTATAAAAAACAAATGAAGTCGTCGGAGAGAACTGAGCTTGACAAACCATGAAAAATGGTTTCAATATAGATATGAACAAATATATGTGTATATTGTTTGTATATCTGTCTATGGAAATGTGTATACACATACACACATACAGGGGAGGGGGCAAAAACAGGTTTACAGTTGTGAGTACATGAAACACAGAGTTAATAAAGCTATTGTAATAATCATAACCTGCCTGTCTTTTTCCATAAGAATAACTATCACCCTACTTTTGTCCCACCCTGTATTCTCTGTTCATTGAGAGGTCTGGGAGGATCAATGGCATACGTCGCACCCATTCTCAAGGGCTCCTTGGAGAAATGGCTGATTCCAGGGCTGGGGCAGGAAAGGACGAGCTAAGTGGAGACATCTTGGAGTGGCAGGAAGTAAGGAAGTGCTGAAAGAAAGACAGGGGCATGTTGAATGAACACAGGAGCTTAGTTTGAAGCAATTCCAATGGGAAAATCTGAAGACAGATTGAACACCTACATAAGGATCTACTAACTCACTGACTAAAATAGAGAACAATGAACACATATAGATATAAACAAATTGAAAGTTTATGAGGAATGTGATAAAATAAAATAAAAATTTATGACAAAGAGAAGACTATCTTTACCATGAGGAAGCTCAGAAGATACCACCTATATCAAGAGATCTAAGTACATTAGTAGAAAACAGCAGTTTACACAGAATCAAAAGAAAAAATGTGATGGTATTAGTCTAGTACCTCTGAGACAAGACATGCTAAATACAGCAAACACCGAAACCTACCCCTGGCCAGTATGGCTCAGTTGGTTGGGTGTGGTCCTGTGCACTGAAAGGTCACGGGTTCAATTCCCTGTCAGAGCACAATTCTCAGTGCCTGCAATAGGCAGCCAATGGATGTTTCTATCTCACATCAATGTCTCTCCCTCCCACCTCCACCTTATCCCCGTTCCTATCTTTCTAAAAAAAAGATCAATAAAAACATATATTTTTAAATGGTATACCCTACTGTGGATCAGGGTAGGGTCATCATGTTTGTGTGGCCAATATCCTTCAAGACCATCTAGCTTTCTGTATTCTGATTCTATGTTCACCAGAGAGCCTTCTGATTAGTAGCTTTCCCTCCTATTTACCTTTTTCTCATACGGAGATATCCTAGACCTCCATAAGTACTTGAAATGTGGCTAATCTCAATTGAGATGTGCTGTATATCCACCCCAGATTTTGAAGCTTTGTAATATATAGAATGTAATACATAGAATTTATATATATATATATATATATATATATATATATATATATATATATTGAAGACTTTGGAAAACATCTCAGTAATAGTTATATTGATTACATGTTGAAATGTTAAACATTTTGGATATACTGGTTTAAATAAAATGTATTATTGAAACTAATTTTACCTATTTCTTTTTACTTGTCTTAGTATGGCTGCTGGAAATTTTTTAATTACTTCTGTAGCTCATATTTATGGATAGTATTATATTTCTATTGGAGATCACTGATCTAATATATTGAACAATACTGCAGTCAATGTAAATATACAACTTCCCTTTGAACTTCTACATTGATTGACACTGCTGCTTTAGACAGGCAGAGGGCTGTCCCTCAGAAACTAATCAACTTTACACTGACAAAATCAAGCTCGCTAAAGGTCAGACCTTCCTGGAAGTGCACAACTCAAGGTTCTGTCACCCTCTGAACTTCCTGGGAACAAGCTATCTACCTTCCATCATTTTCTCTCCTGACTCATAATCTCATGTTTAGACTGTTTTCTTCAAGGGATTGAGTTGAGTATTATTCATCTTTGTTTTCCTAGCACCTACGTGCCTCAAGCAAAAATATTACAAAAGTCTATTAAGTGTATGTTCTTCCACATTTTATGGCGTTGACCAGTAGCTATAGGCCTCCTTACTTTAAAAAGGATTTGTGCCAAAACCGGTTTGACTCAGTGGTAGAGCGTTGGTCTGTGGACTGAAAGGTCCTGGGTTCGATTCAGGTCAAGGGCATGTACATTGGTTGCGGGCCCATCCCTGGTAGTGGGTGTGCAAGAGGCAGCTGGTCAATGTTTCTCTCTCATCGACGTTTCTAGCTCTCTATCCCTCTCTCCTCCTCTCTGTAAAAAATCAATAAAATATATTTTAAAAATAAATAAATAAATAAATCCTACTGTGGATCAGGGTAGGGTCATGTTTACTCTGTTCAAAGGAAAATTCTTTTCTGAAAAATGATGTTATCCAACAGAAAACCTTGGCTTCTCAAAATACAGATATGTTCTCATTTCTTATTTTAAATGACGTAAATGGCCTTTGTTTTACCCAATTTTGTGACTGGTTTGTAAAAACCATTGAAAATGCCTGAGAGGCTATTAGTATTACTAAAGTTAAATATTTACAGTTGCTAATTCAATAAAATCATCAACCCATACTTTAATATTTTTCTAAAAATTGTTTAAACAAGAATTCAATTGTCTTCTCCACCTTCCACATCTCCAAAGAAACTTTTCTGGTGTACAAGACAAACTGAAGCCAATATTCTCTAAAAGTGACTTACTGATTTTAATAAAAAGTGTCATTTGATGACAGTTCTGCTTCAATCATTTGAGACACTTCTACCAAACTACAATTCAGTTGCCCTAACGAAAAGGAGAAAAAAATCCTAAGTCTGCAAGCTGACCTCTACAAAATCCCTGCAATGAAACCATTCTTTCCTTCCAGCAAAGAAAAAGATCCCACATGTT